TTGTAACAGTTTTCCCATTTTTTAATGGGGGGGGGAATTTTTTTAAGTAATTTCTCCCTTTAAGAATTCCCAATTGTCTGGGCTGGAGAGATGGCTCAGCGATTAAGAGCACTGCCTGCTCTTCCAAAGGTCCTGAGTTCAATTCCCAGCAACCACATGGTGGCTCACAACCATCTTTAATGAGGTCTGGCACCCTCTTCTGGCCTGCAGGCATACACACAGACAGAACATTGCATACATAATAAATAAATAAATAAATAAATAAATAAATAAATAAATAAATAAATATTAAAAAAAAGAATTCCTAATTGTCTTACCAAGTATACTGACAGTGTTGATGAAGACGTGAGGCTTATTGCTCCTCACAGTAAAAGCCTGACTAGATTTCAAGGCAGCTACGTAATTTGGAAGCAGCCTGAGAAGGGATCCAGGGAGACAGACAGACAGACAGAGACAGACAGAAAGGGAAGGACTCAAACTGGAAGCTGAAGATCAGCTTGCCTCAGCAGACAGAGGAGGGAGTGGGTGTGGCTTGTCTCTTAAAGGGACAGGACAGACCATTACACATGGGCAAAGCTCTTTTTCGTGAATTCATACCCCATACATTGGGCACCAAATGTAGCACAAATAATAAAAACCCAGAGACAGATATTGAGGTTCAGCCTGAAAATCAGAAAAACAAAGCAGCCAGCCACTGGCTCTTACCTGTACCTGAAACTGAAATGGTGAACCTGCCTGCACGAATCCTCAGAATGAGACCGAACTGAGACCTATCTCCTTCCATCTTATATTCTTCTAATGCTAAGAGTAAAGGTGTGTGCCACCACTAAATGGTCTGTATGAATGACCAATGTGGCTGTTTTGCTCTCTGATCGTCAGGCAAGCTTTATTTATTAAAACACATATAGTATACAGCTATAGAATCTTCTTACTGTTATTGCAAATTTGTAATTATCAGCAGCAGACAAATCAAGCAATAACAAGAAAAGTTTCTTGTGTAGACTCTACAACGGGAAATATCCAACATACTTAATTTTTTTTCATTCTAGAAATGTATTTCCAGCTCACAGAGATGGAAACTGTTGTATTGGGGGATAAGATAGTGATGGTAGGAGAAGGGTCAGCAAACAGACTACTGCTTTTGGTTTTGATAGAGGTTCTTATCATGTTGATCTTGAACTCACAATCCTGCCTCCGCTTTCTGTATTCTGGGTTATAGGCATGTGCGTCACTGTGCCCAATGGACTACTACTTTTCAGTATTTCTGCTAATGCTGATTTCTAATTGTGTATTTAAAGATAAAATAGAGAGGTTGTATAGTGGCAGATGCCTAGAATGGAGTAGATGTACCCTTATGAGGTCGTGGATGAAGAATGCAATCAGCCCAATCATGTGTGGGCCTTCTTTGGCCATATTTAGCTGTTCAGATGCAGGCATAGAATAGAGGGCTGCATTTGTCAAATATCAGATAAACTGTTCTCTTTGAACACTTCTGTTGGAGCTCAGTGTGGTGGGAATGGTTTTTAGAGTTTTAACTTTTTAATCGAACTCATTTTGGAAGGCTAAATGAAAGCAGTTATTAAAAAGAAAAGGCTGCAAGATGGTGATGCATGCTTTTAATCTCGGCACTTGGGAGGCAAAGGCAGGTGGATCTCTGAGTTCAATGACAGCTATGGCCACACAGAGAAACCCTGTGGGGGAGGGAGAAAGAAAGAAAAATGAAAAGAAGAAAAGAAAAGATCTGCATGGCATTGTTTCAGACAAGGTTTCCCTCAGGCTGTGTGTCTGTCATCTAGCATATTTCCACTCTTCTCTGAGCACATTTGGGTGAGATTGTCCAGACCATCATGCACTTTCTGGGCCTCGCTCATTTAATTATCCAGTTCCCCCAGGAGCTCAGCATTCTCCCTCATGCTCTCCCTGTCTGGGACTACAGCATCCCCTGCAAGCTGCACCTTTTTACATTGCACACATATGCAGGTCTCCATGTGTATGTAATGGCTGTAGACTGAAGTATCTAGGAAGGAAGACAAATCATTTCCTTATTTCTTAGGTTTTACATGGATGTTTTTACTTGTGGGATCTCTCTCTCTCTCTCTCTCTCTCTCTCTCTCTCTCTCTCTCTCTCTCTCCCACCCCTCTGTGGTTTGTTGGACATTCTTAGTCTTTTCAATCTGAGATGTTTTTTTCATTCTAGAAATATATTATTTCTGCAGCTGTTTCTTCTCCCTTGTTCGGCTTTTCTGCCTGTATACACTATTCCATGGGTGCTGATTTCTCTTGCCGCTGTAGTCCTTATATCCCTTGACTCATTTTTCATCTCTTCCTAACAACTTTCGGCCTACTACATTAAAGCTGACATTTGTAGATTATGAATTATTGTGAAAATCTCCATCTTTCTCTTCAACCAGTCTATAAAGTTTATTATTTCAGTGATTATATTTGTTTTATAATAACAATTTCTACCTGCTTTGTTTCTAATATTCTCCCCTTAGTGAGCTTTATTCTATTTACTTTTTCTTTCCTCCGTCTTGTGGATGTTAACAGCCTCACTGCTGAGAATATGAGATGGAGTCAGGAAAGCTACAGCTTGGTTTATGCCTCGTCTGCTGTGCTTAGGAAATGAAGGGGCAGGTGGCAGGCATGTGTTGAGAGATTTACTGGGGTCAAAGTCTTTTTATATTATGGCTTGAACTCCCTTCTCAGGAACGAAACTACTCATAATCTCTTTACTCTAGTCCGTGAAGTGAGAAGAGCAGTAGGGTAACAGAATATGGGAAGAGGCAACACCAGCAGTAGTGACATTGCATGTTACATAGCTTCAGGGCTGGAGATAAGAGATGGCTCAGCAGTTAGAACATGTATTGCTCTTCCAAAGACCAAGTTCAGTTCCATGTATCCATATTGAAGGCTGAACTACCTGTAACTACAGCTCCAGGGGATCCAACATGTCTTGTACCCACACACATGGCACACACTCACATGGACACATAGATACACATAGACAATTTAAAAATATGCCAGGAGGTGGTGCACGCTTTTAATCTCAGCACCCGGGAGGCATAGGCAAATGGATCTCTTGTTCTAGAGAGCTAGTTCTGGACAGCCTGAGCTACACAAAGAAACCTGTCTCGAAAAGCAGATGATAGGTAGGTAGGTAGGTAGGTAGGTAGGTAGGTAGATAGATAGATAGATAGATAGATAGATAGATAGATAGATAGACAGACAGACAAATAAATAAGACTTTCCCACTGTCTGTCTCCACTGACACCTTTGTGTTACCCAGTAGACTTTTGATTACTCTAGGTCTGCTGATAGTTTTCCTACCTTGCATCCACTCTTGCCTGTTCCAGATAATGTTGGAGAGAAAAAGTTCATTAGAATAACTCTGCCAGTGCCTAGAAAGATGGCTCAGCAGTTAAGAGCACTTCCAGAGGACACAAGTTTGGTTCCAGAACCTAGTTAAGCTCACAGTCACCTGTAACTCGGTTTCAAAAGATCCAATATCTCTGGTCTTACATACCTGCACTCATGTGTACATACCCACCCACACACACATATGCAAATTTCATGGAAACACAAAATTGCTTCCAACAACAACACTGTGTTCATTTTGTTTTGGTAGTCTTGTGCTAGGCATGTGGCCTCCCTTAAGTGTGGTTTGNTAACTTCTTGCTCTGATCTCTGGCCCTTGTCTACTCTTGTCTTTTTGTCAAGACACTGGGACCAAATTTTGCTGGGCTATCCCAGGAATTTTGTTGTATGTCTTAATTTAGTATAGGTTACCTTTTAAAAATGGCTGGTTAATATAATTGACTACATATGAAGATAGCTTGTATTAAAAGAAATGTAGATTAATTTTTTATGTGGATAGAGGTTTGGAGGATGATTTACAGGACTTGGTTCTCTCCTTCCACTCTATAGGGTTCTAGTACTCTAACTCAGGTCATTGGGTTTGACAGCAAGCTCTTTATTTACTGAACCCCTTTACTGGATTTATCAAAAAGGATAGTTTCAGTATAGACCTCTGTGCGTGAGAGAGTTTTTATCCTTTTTATATTTATTGCTTCACCTTTTTATAGAGTGTGTGTGTACACATGCTATACGTATGTTTGTGTTTATTTGTGTATTGGTACACATGTGTGTTAGGTGCTGTCCTCCTTATTTTTTGAAATAGGGTCTCTCAGTGGAACTTAGAGCTAGCCAACTCAGCTGGTCTGGCTGGCCAGCCATCTCTAGAGGTCTGCCTGTCTGTCTTTTACTCCTTACCTCTGGGGTTACAAGTTTGCACCACCATGCTCAGCTCTTGGTATGGGTGCTGGCATCATCCTCAAGTCCTCCTGCTTTTGTGGCAAGCACTTTACCTGCTGGGATATCACCTCAGTCCCCACCTCCACCTTAAGTGAAGTGGAAATCGTGGCATAGAGTAAGTGCAGGGATTTGAAGTCTGTGAAATACTTCCCTGGATCAATTGTAGAGCTCATTAGATTGTTTTTAGGTTTTAATTATTAAAATATGGAGAAGATGTGTGAAGGATTATCTTCTTTATTTTATTTTTTTAAATAATTTTTTTTATTTTACATACCAATCCCAGTTCCCTCTTTCTTCTCTCCTCCCACTCTTCTCACCTTCCCCCCACCCCACCCAAAGGATTTATCATCTAGGATAAATTTATAGACTCAAATTGGGCAAGTAGGTAAAAGGATCAGTATTTTAGATTATTAAACAGACCAAATGCCTATAATAGAATAGGAATTCAAATTATAGTTATTGGATGAAAGAACATTAAAAATGGCTTTGCATATGTTTCTGCCAGTTCTTAACACTACCAGTGTGAGAATGTTTATTTTTTAACACGTCTTGCATGTTTTGATTATTGGAGTAATTAAAGGAGTTCTCTGCTTTTCTTGAGGGGGTGGGGAATGCCTTCAACTGATGTTACTAGGGCCTCCTCCGACCCTCTGTTCACCAGCTGCATAAATGAGCATGTTTCCTTACAGGACTGAATTTGCTCTTAAAGAAACCATGTCCTCTGGAGGTGCTGAAGATGACATCCCCCAGGGAGAGAGGAAGACAGTCACAGATTTCTGTTATCTTTTGGATAAATCCAAGCAACTGTTCAATGGGTTAAGGTTAGTAGACTCTTGATGTGTTAAACTGTTCTCTAGTTCTGCTTTCCCTCTCACTGATATATGGTAAGTTTCTGAAAGTTATGTATATATCCTGTATATCAGGCATTCAGACCTATTTTACATATATTGAATACACACACACACACCACTGTATTAGAAATAATTGCAGCTTGGTGAGGAAGCCCATGCCTGTAATCCCAGCACTAGGGAGACTTGAGGTAGGAGAATCACAGTTAAGTCTGAGCTACAAATGAGACTGTACCTCAAAAACAAAGCAAACAAAAACAGAACAAACAGAAAGAAGTGACTTTAGTTTTTTTGTTTTTTTGACAATGTTTATTATTAGATGAAAAAAAATGTGTTGGGTTGAAGACATGGTTAAGGCACTTGAAACTTTTCCAGAGGCTCTAAGTTCAGTTCCTAGTACCCATGTTGGATAGTTTACAACTGCCTGCAACTCCAACTCCAGAAGATTCAGTGCCCTTTTGGCAGTTATACACAAATAAAAGTAAATCTGAAAAAAAATTTCATCCAGTCAGCTGGCAATAGTCTTTTGCTTTATATTGATAAGAATTATGAGTAGGCAAGGAGATTCTTCCAGTGCTGACAGTCCTCAACTTTGAGTTCTAAGGCCTGAGGGCTCTTCTGGCAGGCCCAGGGCCTATTGTTCCCAGTTTTAAAAAGGAGGGATTTAGGACATCAGGCAGTCAGGTTGGAGAGTTGTAGCTCTGTTTACCCACCAGTAGTCCCAGTATATAGAAAGAGTGCTAGTATGAAGACAGTTCACTGGACAGCTTGGTTGCTTCCCTTAAGCAAGCTGGGACACCAGGAAACATACTAACATCTATCAAGAATCAAATCACTGAATTGCCCAACATCTTAGCTTATTTAAAGGAAAAATGAAATATTAAAGTAGGTGTAAGAAATGAAGGCTTATTAAAATTTAAATGACTTAATGGGTATATTTTTTATTTTAAAAGTGCTTAGATTTATTTATGCGTATGGGTGTTTTGCCTGTATGTAAGTAGGTGTATCATGTATAAGCCTGGTGCCCATAGAGAGGAAAAGAAGGCATCAAAACTGGAGTTACAGACAGTTGTAAGCCAACATGGAGGTGCTGGGAACCAAACAAGTGTTTAACAGTTCTTTGGCAGTGCTTAACTTTTGCTCCAAGGGGAGGTGGTTCCCTCTAATCTGTCCAAATAGGAAGGACAAAAAGTATTCGTTTTACTCAAGTTGAGAAGGGTTCTTTTGTTAGATATTTCCTGTTGTTTTTATAGATGGCTTATGTTCATTTTTCATCTCATATTTGATTGACATCTGTTTTTATCCATGAAGGTATTTAGATTCAAGCACTCTATTTTTTTATGTGTATGAATGTTTTGCCTGCGTGTATGTACGTATTCTGTATACATGCCTGGATGCATGCTTAGTGTCTGTAGAGGTCACAATAAAGTGCTGGAACTTCTGGAGCTGGAGTTATGGACAGGCCTAAGCCACCACGCAGGTGCTGGAAATTGAACCCTGATTATCAGGAAGAACAGCCAGTGCTCTTATCTCTCTAGCACAGTTGTGTGGTTTTGAGACTCAGTCTTCCTGAATGCAGGGTAGTATCTTCATGAAGTAATGTCTTAAATTTTAACAATACTAATAATGGTGAATTTTGAAATTTTACCTTGAACCGTGGATAAAAAAAAATCTATCAAAGATTCATTTTAGTGTTTTGTGTGAATGAATCTCTTCAATTTAAGCCTTAATTAAAGTCCAAATTTTCACCAGGGGGCGGGGTGGGGCGGGGCCTGGCCAGCGGGGTTCGTGGCTTGAGATTCCCTGGGAGCCAACACGGTTTTGCATCTTGAGATCCCATGGCTGACCTTCCTGGGCTCTGGGGCTCTTTTGCCCGTGTCAGCAGAACATTCCGCCAGCGCTGCTTCAACACCTCCAGGAGCCTCTGTGCAATCCAGAAAATGACTGGGGTGCGTGTAGTGGACAATAGTGCCCTGAGGGATGCCCCATTGGCCTCCTCGATGCATCCAAGTCTACTATAACAAGAGTGGGGTGAGCAAGGTAGGCGACCAGTTTCTGCTGGCCATCAGGGGACAGAAGAAGAAAGCACTCATTGTGGAACTTCGCATGCCTGGCTCCCGAATGACCCCAAGGTTTGACTCAACAACGTGGTCCTCATTGAGGTCAATGGGAACCCTGTGGGGACTCGTATTAAAAGACGTATCCCAACCAGCTTTCGCAAGGGGGAAAGCAAGTATTCCAGAGTGTTGGCCATAGCTCAGAACTTTGTGTGAGCGGCGTGCCTCTACACCATGCATTCATTCCCTTCACACGGGTGATGGTGTCCTGGAACAGAATAAATGTTTTAAAGTGTGCAAAAATAAATAAATAAGTAAAAAATAAAGTCCAAATTTTCTGTGAACACTTGGGTCTTGTGCCACCTACTAGGTAGCCCTAAACCTCTGCTTCACAGAGATATTGGTATTTTGATTCTCTGCCCACTTCCCTTTTCTACTGCTGGCATTTTCTCCCCATTGTTGGGAATCAAACCCAGGTTTGGTGCATGCTAGGTAAGCATTCTTCTGTTGATGTATATTTTCCCAGTTATGAAAGGAAGTAGGGATTATTATTTAGCAGTTTTTATTTCATATCTGTACCTAGAACTGTCTTTTTATTATTCAGATTATTTTATTTATTTATTACGAGTGTGTACTTTGCCTGCATGTTTATCTGTGCATCACTTGCATGTCTGCTGTCACCAGGAAAAAGCATTAGATCCCCTGAAACTGAAGTGACAGATGGTCGTAAGCTCCCATGTAAGCTGGCAGTTGAAACTGGGTCCTTTAGTAGAGCAGCCACTGCTGAGCCGTCCTTCCAGCCCCTAGGAACTTTTAGCATGGAATTTTAAAAGTATTTCAGTAGAAGGCTTAAGTAGATGGGCTCAGCTGATAAAACATTGTCTTGGAAGCTTACGGTTCAGGAGGTGGATCACTGAGTGTGGTGGTGTAGACTTGTTATCCTTGCCTGGGGAGCTAGAGACAGGAGGATCCCTGGGGATCCCGGCCATCCAGTCTGACCAGTTTGGTGAAACTTGAGGTCAGTGAGAGACCCTATCTCAAAAGATAATGTGGATAACTCCTCAGTAACTGGCCAAAGCTGATCTGGTCAATTATGCACACACACGGTTGGGAGGGTGGGCTCACATACATACACAGATTCACAAAGATTTTAGTAGAGATAGTAATGAAAAGTCCATTATGTGTGATTAAATTACAAAAATAAAGAAAATTGCAAAAGCAAGGTTTTTTTAAGATTAGAAAAATATTTTAAAATCTGAGAGAGAGCATGTTTAGTTTTTTGGTTTTTTTATTTTTTTCTTAATCTATGAATGTTTTGTTTATAATTTGTGTGTGTGCAGTGCCAGCAGAGAGGACATCAGGTCCTCTGGAACTGGAGTTACAGGAGGTTGGGTGCTAGGAACTAAACCTGAGTTCTCTGCAAGAGCAGCAAGTGCTTTCTTCCAGCTGAGCCATGTCTGCAGGCCCCACATGATATTTTGGTTTATTTTATTTTAAAATGAAAATTTTGTGTTCAATGAATTTTCTGAGACAGGCATGGTGGTATATGCCTGTACTAGCTTTTTATCAACCTGATACAAGCTAGGATCATCTAAGAGGGAATTTCAACTGAAACAATGCTTCATCAGATTTCCTGTAGGCAAATCTGATGAGCAATTTATTAATTAATGAATAATGTGGAAGAATCCAGTCCACCAAGGGCTGTGCCTCCCTGGCCTTTGCTTCGGTTCCTGCCCTGGTCCCCATCTTAAGGGACTGTGACTGGAAAGGTAAACCAGATCTCCCTTTCTTCCCCAAGTGCGGTGTTCCCTCACAGCGATGGGAAGCAAACTGGGACAGTGCCTATAATCTGGCTGCTCAGAAGGCTGAGGCGGCAGTCTCCTGTGCCCAGTGCCTAGACTAGTTAAGACTCTACTACCAAAAAAAAGAAAAAGAAAATTATTTTTGTGTGAAATAAAATCCTATGTATGTGTGTGCTTTCTGTGTTTAGTAAAATGTAACCATTTGTTGTTTAATATTGAACCTCAGTTGGAAAACCCTTAGAAAGGACACTCTCTGTCAGTTCAAAGTCTTCCTTGCGGTTCCCAGGGTGGCAGGGTGGGGAAATGTGACCTTCTCAGCATTAGTTACTTTGTCTTCTTTGAATTTCTAAACTAAAAAGTTTTCTTATTTCAAGTTTTGATGCTTTTGGTTTGGTTTTGATAATTTATTTGCAATATATAAGATTTCTTTGGGGCCAACAATGAGAAAGTTGTTTTTCATTGATTCTCTTCTACCATCTTTGTGTGTGTTCTGGAGATCAAACTCAGATTGCCAGATCCATGAGACGTCTTGCTGTCTTGAGGAAGTTTTTTGATTGTCTCCTTCCTTCTATACTTGTGTTGGTTTAATTGGAAAACAAGATCCCAGTGCCTGTAGAGCATATGAAATACATGGGTAGTCAGCCAGCACTCCACTCAGGGAGGGGCCAATGGCATCCAGGTACAAAGGTGTCATCTCTTACACTGACCATTCCCCCGGACATTCCTTCCACTCTTGCTGCTCCTCTTTCTGCTAGGTTTCTTTGTGTTTTCTCTTTCACGTGTTTCTTGTGAAGGAGGGTGTGAGGAGCACATGCTGGAGATGCAACCCAGGCCTCCATACATAGTAGTCACTTGCTGTGCCCCTGAGCCTTCCTCCCAGCTGTAGTGAGTCTTTATATTCAAATTCAAAAGGTTTTAGTATATTTTATTTTTTCAAATTATGTATGGGGGGGTGTGCGCACACAAATGCAAATGTCATAGGAGACCAGAGGCATTGGATTCCCCTGAAACTGGAGTTACAGGCTAGTGTGAGCCATCCAGTGTGGGTGGTAGGAATTGAGTTCAGGTCCTCTATAAAAAGCCCTTCATGCTCTTAAATGCTGAGCATCTTTCC